GCGAGCTTGCAAATGTGATCGCACACATCCTCTGGCTTCATCTTCAACCACGTCGGCGGCGTGCGCTTGTACGGGACTGCCGAGGAGGCAATTCCCTTGCCCCTGCCATACATGCGCCCCATGCTGCTGCCCTTCCTGTAGCTAAGTCGGCCGTCTACGAATCCTTGCTGCTTGTGCCACCTACCAGGCACAAAGGCATGACAAGACAGCATCGGGGGGCAAGCTTGTGCAGTGACAGTTTCCGGGGCATGACCTGCGCACGTGCGAATGGAAGGAGCAACTGCTGCAGACCTGCGTGGAGCCTGTGCAGAGGCTGAACATCTGCTCAATTTACGACACGAGAATGAGCTCTGAGGACTGTTTTGCTTGCAGCAGTTTCTCGGTTCGAAAGGTGTTTCTAAACTAGACTACAGGACAGGCTACCCGCTTGCAGACTCAGTACTTAGGCCACCAGTGCCGACGCCGTGGCGGAGACATACTTCCAGGTGGCTGGCAAGGACTTCACGCGCTTGTAGTATCTGGCGAGACGATGGATTCGGCTCTCAACCAAAATCAGCCGGAACTTGGCATCCTTGTCCTTGCGGTTTTTGTCCAAGTGCTTGCGGATGGACACAGCCTTCTTGATGAGGTAGTACAAATCCTCCGGCAGCGTCGGTGCCAGGCCATTAGTCTTCAAGATGCGCAAGATGTGGTTGCCTGTGACATTCTTCACCTGGGGAACGCCGAAGCTATCTCGCAGGGTCACGCCGATCTGAGACGGGGTCAAGCCCTTCTTGGCGAGCTTGCAAATGTGATCGCACACGTCCTCTGGCTTCATCTTCAACCACGTCGGCGGCGTGCGCTTGTAAGGGACTGCCGAGGAGGCAATTCCCTTGCCCCTGCCATACATGCGCCCCATGCTGCTGCCCTTCCTGTAGCTAAGTCGGCCTTCTACGAATCCTTGCTGCTTGTACCTGAAGGGCAGGGAGCATGCATACGGCAATGTTGCAGGCTACTGCCTCACGGTCCCACTGCATTTGTCTAAACAGCCATACCTTCGCGGATGACCTAGTTGGATCTAGCTGCACTGAATATGAAACTCCGAATGCAGCGTGCAACACTGAGTCTTTGGGCTTTTGTAGCCTCAAAGTCTTGGTAGGTCTTCTTCCTGGCCTTCCACTCATCCTGCTTTGCTCGTCCTGTATCTATCTGGCGATTTTGCACCGCAACTTCCAGTAGGGCTAAGCTGAATCATATACGATGACAGCTGACGGCAAGTCTGCTACATGATGGCATCATGATATTCACACTCGGGGCCGGTGTTTGGTTGAAGCCGACATGGAAACATCTGCATCCTGTGCCTTAAGCACAGAACACGACCTAAACGAAACAAAAAGCCAACAATTGTCCTTAAATGCTAGAACGTTTTTTAGGCCAGAAGCACCGGCCTCCTAAACCCTGAAGTTCATGTACGAGTAGGTGCCTCTACAGGATCATGAGGGAAAACCATAACGATGCCCAAAGTGCAAACCGTGAGCCTCAAGCCTGAAAGCCTTTTTGCATCAGCCGTGGGCTCTGGACAGGAACGGCTCCAACTCTAAACCCCCGGAAGCGAGATCCCTTAGCCTAGCCTTTGCAGAGGGTTTTGGAAAGACACGAAACTCTGAACCTTACCGAAGCCGCAAAACTACTCAACCTCAAATCCAAATTTAAAAACACATAAACTCATAAACCCGAACCACCCTAGAGGACCCGGCCACCGCAGCGTGGCTTGCCAAGGACCCCCGAAGAGGTCGCCTAAGTCCTCCGCAGCGCCTTGCCGGAATCTTTGAGCTTCGCTTTGCTCATGTGAGGCTTTTGTAAGTTAAGTCCCGTCCCGGCTCCATGTGTAGCACGGTGCCACGGAAGGCCCCGTTTGCAAGGGCCCCCTACTCCGCCACCACACAACATGGGAACCAGCTTCTGGAGAAGCTACAGCTGATGGGTTCAGGCCTAGAGTTGGGACTCAACCTACTATAGGTGCCTAAATAAGTTCCAATACTTTTTTTTCTTTTTTTTTTTTNNGGGGGTTCCTTATGATAGCTATAGTATAGTAGACCCCAAAACCCTGTGCTATCTACTAAGGCCCCTATGTCAATCATGGGCTTCAGAAACATGAGCTTGGGATCTGTCGGGTCTTTGGTTGGCGCTGTCTTACCAAGACAGAAAGGGCCGGTGCTCAGGGCCGCCGAAAGCAGCAATCTTTTTGGAGACCACATAACCAGATCTTGGTCGTCCTCTGGCATGAACCCCTCGCCGCAAATCAAACAATCCTAACATCCCGTTTTTCAACACTCCTCAACAGCAGAGACTGCCTTAAACCCCAAACCGGAGAACCCTGAACCCCAAGCCCTGAACTCTGGAATACCCTAAACCCTAAAGCCTAAACCCTCTACCCTTTTTTGCTATTGGACTCAAGTCTACCCTAAACCCTAAACCCTGGAACCCTAAACCCCCGCACCCGCGAAGACCGACAGCACGTATAACTAAATGAATACTCACAGCCGCAGTTAATAAAGGTACTTTTAATGACCTTACTTACTACGTCCCCTGATCCTCCAGTGTAGGGGCCTTAACAATTAGAACAAGCTTTGAGAATTTCAATATAAGGAACCCCCAAGCTAGTATTGGTAATTAATGTGGCCCCTACATTAAGCCCCTTACCCCTAAACCCTAAACCCCAAAGCCCCCAAAAACTCTTTCAACCTCAGCACCTTCGGTCTAGACTGCAATGGATGAGGGCCAAACGTAGTATAGGTAATTATTAATACTTAGACGCCCAGACTCCCCTCGGACTCGGGTGGGCCTTCGGTCTGTCGGCTTCCACGACCCGCCTGGGCGCTGACGAGATCGGTTGGGTTGAGGGGTCGCGGTTTAGGGTTTAGGATTTAGGGGTTTTAAGGTATAGTCTTTAGGGGTTTCAGTGTTTAGGACTTAGGGGTTTTAGGGTTTAGGATTTAGGGGCTTTAGGGTTTAGGATTTAGGGTTCGAGTTTGTGGGTCTAGGGGCTTGGCTGTGAAGTTTAGGGTCTGGTTTAGGGGTTGGGTTTAGGGTTATAAAAAAGGTTCCGAGTATTTGGGCTTAGGGGTTCGGGTTGAGGGTCGAGGTTTCGAGTTTATGGGTTTACCCTTATCTGCCCCCAAAACCCTCCCTCAACCCTAAACCCTCGACCCTAGACCCTAAACCCTAAACCCAAACCCGAGCCCCAAGACCCCACACCCGAAACCCCACAAAGATCGAGGCACCCCGGTCGAGTCGGCCCAGAAGACCGGCGGAGAACTCTGGCTCGACCTGCACCTCATTGGCTTCGGGGTTTAGGGCTGTTGCTTTGAGGGTTCAGGGTTTAGGGCTCTAGGTCTGAACAGGGACTTACGCTCTCGCAATTCGGACTCCGCCAGACGAGGTCTCTTGTGTCCAACTAGTGTCTGCTGCTACAAAGTCTAGCGCACGATCACTGCTACACCACAGAGGCTTACGGAACAGTAATAGCCCTGAACCGGGATTTAGGGTTTAAGGTTAAGCTTGGGGTGGGGCCTGGGGGTTTAAGAAGGGCTTTTGAGGGATCCAAGCAGGTAACGATCATGATGGCTTGGGGTGTGGAGAGTGTTTTGTTTTAGGATCTATTGTAAGGGTTACGATTACGAGGGCTTTGGGGCTCAGGGTTTAGGATTAGATAGTGGGGCTAGGGTTTAAGGTTAAGGGGGGAGTTCAGGGTTGGGGCTTAAGGGATTGGGGGTTTAGAGTTTAAGTTTGGGGTTTGGGGTTTAGACTATTTTTGTGGTTCTGGTTTAAAGTACCAGGGGCTTTGGCTCCGGCAATCTGCCGCCTGGCACGCGCATAGGCTAACTCCGCAGGTAGAAGGTTTCGGTTTGGGCCTCGGGTGTTTAGGGCTGCATGCTGAGTTTAGGGTTCCGGGTTACGGCGTTTGGGGTCCTTGTTCCTAGAAATGAGCTGAGATTCCAATGGGCTACGGGTGCGTTTTTTCCCCCCGCTTCGCTGACATATATATGTGCGTTTAGGGTTTAGGGTTTAGGGTCCCTTTGAGGGTCCTGCTTGTACGGGTGCCGACTTCTTTTGGCCTCCCAAAACGGGACCCTAATTGAGAGAACTCGCAACGTCTTACTAGCGGGATTCTGAAACCCTATGTAAACCCTAAACCCTAAAATGCCTGTGAACCTGGGAGTTCGACGCTCAACCTTTGACTCAAAGCCCCTCCCGAGGTTCCATAACCAGGGTTTAGGGCTTAGGGCCTAGGGCACATGAACCCTACTTAAAGGATCATGGGATTTAGTAACTGAGGTTTTTAACAAGGTAGCTATACTTATAACCCCCAATTAGGGTACTTATAACCCTACTTACTAAGTCCCAAGATCCTCCAAGTACTCCCCAACCCTGCAACACAAAACTCTAGAAAGCTGAACCCCGAAAGGCCCTGAGAGCCTGAAGAGCTGTAACCCAAGTATCCTGAGCCCTGAAAACGTAGAAGCCTCAAGTGTAAGACATGGCCGGAAAAGATGGAAAAATACAAGCCGTAAGTTTAAGTTTAAGTATAGGGCCTGGAAAACCTTGAAAATTGCTAGAGGCCTTAAGTTCAAAAAAGTGGTTGATTTTGGAGACAACAGCACAGGACTAGAATGGAATACCCCCTGAACCCTAACCCCCGAACCCTAAACCCCTAAACCCCTAAACCCCCAAATCCTAAACCCCAAAACCCTTTTTTTCACAAGGGACTCGGCTGCTGCCCTTACTGCCCAGTACCCTAGACCCTAAACCCTAAAC